CCTCTTGCACTGCCCTAAAGCTGCTGGGCTAAATGCTATTTGTTATGGGTTGAATTGTGTGTCCCCAAAAGGTAGGTCAAAATCCTAACCTTGGATGCCTGTGAATGTGATCTTATTCAGAAATATGGTCTCTGCAGATGTAACTAGTGAAGATGAAGTCATGCTGGGTTAGGGTGGCCCCTAAATGCAGTATGACTGGGGTCATTAATAAGAAGAGGAGAGAAAAAAAGACACAGAGAGACTATGTCACCCAAAGATCGGAGTGATGAGTCTACATGCCAAGGAATGTCAGCAAATCATCAAGAGCTACAAGAGGAAAAGAAGGATTCTCCCCTGGAGCCTTCAGAGAAAGCATGGCCCTGCTGACACCTGATTTTAGACTTCTAGCCTGCAGAACTGTAAAAGATGTCTCTCTTGTTTTAAGCCACCCAGTCTGTGGTACTTTGGTACAGCAGCACTAGGAAACTAAAATATCATTGCTTACAGAATTTCTAGGAGGGTGACCCTCTGTCCTAGTTTTCTCGGAACAGAGGACTTTCAATGTGAAACCAGGGAAGTCCAGGGCAAACCAGGATGAGTTTGTCACTCTACCTTCTGGCCTACATCTTTCTTAAACTCTACATCACTGAATACTGTGATGGCCATCTCCCTCTTGAAAAGTCCTTCATTCTTGGTTCTCATGATGCCGTGTTCTCAAACAGATAACTCCATCTGATGGCAGGTAAAAACTCCGCTTTCTTCATTTAAAACCATCAACATCCCTCAAATCTGGTTCCCTGTCTTTCTTCCATATGGAATAAATAGCCAAGAACTTGGGGGTCATACTTGGTGTTTCCTTCTCCCCCTATACCCATTCAATCATTAATGAAAAAAAAAGCCTTCAAATTTCTGGAGTTCACCCAATTCTTCCCAATTCTGCTACCACTCCTTCAGCCCCGTTCCTCCTTACTGCTCCCTCTGATCACAGCAGCAGGCTCAGAATTGGGTTTCCCTGCCACCCTTTTGCCATCCTCCAAGCTGAGCCTGTTGAGATATATGAGGGGCTTCTCAAGATGCTCTTCAGCACCTTACATTGTGAAACCCCATTAACCTCATCTCCCTCTATGTCCTCTCTAAAACTTAGACTAAGATCTCATGATGCACTATATATGATGCTTGCAATGTGTACTATGCTCCCCTCCCTCCCTTCAGGACCGATGCATTGGTTCTTCTCCCCCGAGAACTCTTCCCCTTTTGTGAGATTCACAAACACCTTCTGATCATCATTTGTGATTCAGTTCTGGCATTGCCTCATCCTAGAAACTTTCCTTAACCACACTCCTTCAGCCTGGGCTGTCGTTCAGATGCCCCTCTCCTAGGACCCTAGAGTCCTCACAGCCCCCAGCAATGACACCCATTAGGACCCTTAATAAAATGTAATGCAGTGATCCTTTTGGTTTACATTCCTGAAGGTATTCTAAAATCTTAATAGAGGCTGTGTTTTTTGCCTCTAGCTCATCAATATTTAGCACAGACGTTGGTACATAATAGGCACCAATTAAATGTTTGTTGTGCATTCACTCCTAATTAAAAACATGCAAATTAAACCTAAGCTGAGATACCATTTATGAACTATGAGATTAGCCCAAATCCCAAAGCCTAACAGTATACTCTGGAAAAGATTGGTGGGAAACAGATACTTGTATCCAGGGCAAGGAGAATACAAAATGACACAACCTTCATGAATGGAAATCAGGCAACATCTAGCAAACCACAAATACATTTACCTCTTGACGTAGCAATCCCAATTCTAGCAATGTCTCTCAATGGTACTCTTGCAAAAATATTGAAATTTGTTTGCAAGAGACACTACTCATTGCAATAGTATCCATGATCAGAAATGACAGGAAACCTGAACTGTGTTGATCACATAGCAGGGAGCTATGTGGCTCTAAAAAGAAATGACATAAATCTACACTACTAAGGAGTACCCTCCAGGATATATCATTATGTTAAAAAATGTTACATAGAGAAATGTTTGTCTGTCTGTAACCTTTTGTCTAAGAAAGAGGGGGGGCAAGAATATGTGTGTATGTTTGCATTTAAAAAGAAGCGTTAACCATAAGCTGTAAGTAAAAGGTTAGCTAAAAGCAGAGAGTGAACAAGAGAGAAGAAAGCTAGTTTCTTTGAACATCCTTCTCTCATGAATTTGACTTTGATATAATACAATGTAATTAATATAAGTTTTTAAAATCTCTAGAAATTAAAAGCAAAATTCAGCAGAGGTTGGGTTTTGAGTTGGCATAACCATATAAGAGGAAATAATTTCAAGTGATTTCAAGGCAGAGATTTTGCTTTACTTCCCCAATGAAATTTATACCCTGACAACTAAAAGAAGAAAATCATCTTATAGGGTTTTCAGTAGTCAATGAGCCTAGAGTTGCATGAAACTGTTATTCTGATACAAATACATGTCTATATCAGGAAAAGGCAAAGGAATATTATATTGGCCTGCAGAGACTTAGGATTCTGTGTACAAGAGAGAATGATGTAGACATAAGATGGAAGAGGTTCGAAAAACCTTACAGTCCTGGAGATGAGTTGGAACTACCTAGAAGAACTTATGGTGCATGTTTGTAAAATGTTTTCCTCAGTTCAAAACACCTAGCTGAGAGCCTTCACACAAAATGAGCCAAAAATAGGTGGTTGTCAGATCTATGGGAGGAAATGTCTAAGAGGAGATAGGAACATCTTGCTGTCTCAGAGAGTCAGCAAGCTAGCAGAGGCAACATGGGTGGTGTCAGAACAATTCAGGAGCCAGGTTCAAGAGGCTTCTAGGGGCTTGAAATGCAACGATTTCACCATATGTAAGGACAAAAGCTGTGATTGCTTAACATAGATCAACCCTCGAAATCCATGTATTAATAACAATTCTAATAATCAAAATAAGAAAAAGAAACAAAAAGCAAATATAACATCTTATTTTTCCTCTTTGGGCAATGGCAGACAACCAACTAATAGTCTCTTTAAAAAAAACTGATGGAGGGTAGGGGACAGCTCTTATTCCATCGCTCCCATATAAGCTGTATCCTCAGGATCGTCAAACAAGATAGCGAGGATAGGGAGAGTGAGGGATACATAGAAATATCCTTGCCATCAAATAAAGAAAGAATAATAAAATGAGGAAACCCCAGGTTTGCCTCATGAATGAATCAGTAGATTTAGGCAGTGATCACCACTCCCTGCTAATTTCACACCGAGTTATTATCTGCCTCCGATGGAAGGACACAGCACCATTCATGACAGAGCATAGGCAAAAAGATGTGAACCTCAATCTAAGCAGCCTCTTGATCACTACATATTTACAGACATATTCAAGGCAGACAAATGCCAGTGGGATGCATTTGGCAAAATCTAGGCTGTGGGAAATTCTATAGTACAAAGAACTTAGATTTAAAAAAAAATAATTGATTTGCAAAAGGAGCAACAACAACAAAAAAACAGTAAAAGATTAAAAAGACTCAAGAGATACTCCACCAACTGCAATGCAGGAACTCCATTTAGAGTCAATCCAACTGTTACAAAAATGCATAAGTAGCCACGAGACCATTGGAGATCTCACAATACTCACTAAATGTCTGGTGATGTTATGGAATTATTTTTCTGGAATTCTGTCTGTTTGATATGACAATGCTATTGTGAATTCTTTTTCTTTGACAGTCATCAATTCAAATGTTACAAATAAGATCTCTTCAATTTGCTTCAAAATGATTTGGTGGGTGTGGGGTGGACCGTAAGTGGGGATTTAAAAGCAAACAGATGGGCCATCAATTAATAAATGCAGAGTCTGGGTGTTCCTTAAACTATTCTTTTCAGTTTGAAATTTTTCACGATACAAAGTTTAAAAAGTAACAAAACATAAAACTATTGGCTCTGGCCAGGGATCTCAGTTAGCTGACTGTCATCTGGATGTGCCAGGGTTTTGGGTTCAATCCCCAGTCAGGGCACATGCTGGAGTAAACCAGTGAGTGGGTAGATGGATGGAGCAATGGATCGATGTCTTTGTCTGTCTCTCTCTCTCAAAAATCAATAAATACAATTTTTTAAAGCATAAAACTATTGGATGGATTATTAAAATCCAATGACTGAATAATTATGGTGAGCTTGATAATATAACCGAGTTCAATGAGACAGGAATAAAGACATTTGTTTTTCTTCCTGAACACTAAGTGCCAAGGGTAAAAAGAACCCTATATAAACTTTGACTAATGAAAAAATAAATATATTCTAATTAATTAATCCTATAGATCCATGGAGACACCAGAGACATTAAACTAATTCTGTCTGCCATACGATGCCAGAGAGAGGCAAAAATCACGTTTTGTGGCAAGACTAAGGCTTTGCTGGGAAATGCTGAGGTAAAGAAACTTTTGTTTTCTTTTTTTTTTATTCTCACCCAAGGGTATGTTTATTGATTTTAGAAAGAGAATAAAGGGAAGGAAGGGAGGGAGGGAGAGGAAGAGAGAGACAGAGACGGGGGAAGAGAGAGAAACATCAATTGGTTGCCACCCATAGGCGTACTGTGCTGACCAGGTATTGAACTTGCAAGCCAGGTACATTCTCTGACCAGGGATCAAACCCAAAACCTTTTGGTGCACGGTACAACACTCTAACCAACTGGGCCATCTGGTTGGGGCTGCTTTCCTTGTCTTCTGGTGTTATTTCTGCGGGTCATATTTTTATCCCCTGGTTCTAATGCCTATTATGTTTCCAGCACCTGTTAACTAAAGGGGGTCTCAACACTGGGACTTTCTTATCTGTGATAACTCTGGTCGCGGATTCTTCTTGAGATACTCATCTGTTTCTAGATGAAGGTTTTTGCATCTTTGCTCCTATTTTCAACAATGTCTAAAACAAGAGTCACAGAATAATAAAGCAATACGCACTGCTGTTCTCTGTCACTGAGTAGGGAAAGTGCATTTAAGGGGTGCCTTGGCAACCGGAGCATGCTTGCCCCTTACCTTTATAGGAAATGACCGGGTGCTCTGCTCTTTGGCACTGAGAAGCGTCTGTTTCAGGCTGGGCGAGTCTCCACCAGCCCAGGCTAGAGAACAGCCATGCAATGACACAGGTCCCCTTCATGGTGAGTAGGAGGTGTCTGACTCTGCACGCTTTTCTTCTAACCAGAAGCTCGCCTTCCCGTCATGTGGGAAAAGTGCCTAAAACACAGAAAGGACAACAACTGGATGAAAACAAGTTCAGGTTTTTGGGTGGTCGTTTTCTCATAGTGTCCTGCCACTACCTTTAAAAACATATAAAATAAAAGAAAAAGAACTTCCAGGGCTTAGACAAGTGGATGTTTTTCTAGCTGATATATGAGTATATGTGTGTCTCAATAAGGACCTCTTTTTCTCACAATACTTTTATGAGACAAACCATTTATTTTCAAAGGAAAAGTGTTCAAGTGTAAGCTCTACCAAGACATTATAGTTACTTCTAAGGAACGCAGTGTAAGGACTGTGACCATTGATTGGTTTTCCCTTGGAACATTGTCCTCCCCTCCTCATGCAAACACAGATCTGCATGTGAAAACCCTAAGAAGCCAGCCCTTCCTTTTTCAGATTCAAAAGGCCCCATTTAATAGGTCATGATCATTGTCCTTTATGAATAAACTGATTAATAATATGATACCCGGCTCTTAAAAATTGTCCACATCTGGTGAATTTACCCTTTGAAATTTATAGATGACGCGCCTGCAAAGATTCTGGCTAGAGACCAAGCCTCAATCAAATGAACTCTATATTGAGCACCCACTGGGTGAGATGAAATTACTATGCTGGGAGTGTTGATACTTGAAAGATTATGAATAATTTAAAAGATTAATAAGCTTTAAAATGAGATAGGCTTGTAAAAATAACTACAATCGAGGTTGTTAGAAATCCATTTTAAAAAGAAGCAGGAGAGCGGTGGGAGTGGTGAGAGTGTCCTGCCGCTATTTAGAGGGATTCAGGGTGTGTCCCCGGAGGAGCTAGCCTTTGCGTTTAATACTGGAGGATAAAGAGGATTTCAACAGATGGAGGCTTCTGGGAGTACATTCCATGCCAAGGGAAGAGGGTGAAAAGAGGCACTCGAGGGGCAAGAGGAAGGAGTAGGCAATGTGTTTTGGGAAGAGTTTACTATACTTGACCCAAACACCAGGGGATATAAAGGGAGATGCCGTGGGAAGCAGCTCACAGAGTAGGTTGGGTTAACATTTGGAAGGTAAACTATACTACAATCTGAGCTCTCTATTTTTAGGCAACAAGCTACCATAGTATATTAATATTACATTAGAAGAAATATTAATAAAATTATTCTTACAACAGTGTGCATTGGAAATCGGGTAGAAAGGAGTACAGAGGTGGAAAAGTTCGTCTGAAGACACTGCAATTGTTTAGAAGAGAAATAAATGAAACTGTGACTTCAGATGGTGTCAATGTGAATAAAAATTCAGGCAAACATTTAAAGTAATGGGTTTGAAAAGTATGACAAATTAAAGAGGGAGACAGATTCTTTGAACTTCCCCCCATTGAGGTCAGACTAGGACCCTTCTCTTGAATCTGGGTTGGCTCAGTCAAATGCAACAGAATTGATGGTGTGCTGGTTTCTAAGCCCAGCCCCTGAGACTGGCCATTTCTACTTCTTTTCTCTTAGAACATGTTTTCTGGGCACTGAGACCCCAGGTGCCCTGAGACTGCCATGCTAGAGAGACCACATTTAGGAGCTCCTAGGGATATTACCCACTGAGCCCATCTTCCCAGCCATCCCCACCAATGCACCTGATATGTGAATATACATGAAAGCCACTGAGTGACTTCAATAAGTATGAGAGGATATGAATCATCCAGTTGAATCCTGCCCAAATTCTTAACCCCCAAAATGTGAGATGAAATAAAATGATTGTTACTCTAATCTGCAAACTTTGGGGGAACAGAAAGCAAAGAGGCACAGATACACTCAAGACAGAGAATATAAGAGACTGTGAAGACGGTAATGCCATTTTGTTCAATATGATGATCAACTGAAGAATTTTGTTCCGAGGAGACTATTATCCTTATTTTTGTTTATGTTGGGTTTAAGATGCTGAGAGTATATTTAAGGAAAAGCTGCTGAAAATCCAGCCTGAGTGCTCAGAAAAAAAAGAAGTCAGAGACTGCATACACTGTTTAGAAGGGTTAAATCATGGGTGTGGTTAAATTCACCAGGGGAAAGCGTGAAAAAAAGAAAAGAAAAAGAGAAAAGGAGCTAAAGAAAATCTTTTATCTGTTTAGAAAGCTGCAATTTTAAAAGTCACCACACAAAGATGAGAAGGAAATCAGAGATAGCTCACCAAGCAAAAATGAAGATCAAGTTAGGCTGAAATATAAAAATAACACTTTTTAAAAAGAGACCTGGTCCATTGCATCGCAATGAGGCAGACCAATGGCGTTAGTGAACAGTCAACGATCAGCTTGTAAGGGTAGGTCACGGTTTCAACAAAACAAGAGACAGAATTCATATAGGAAGAAACCAAAAAGGAATGGAGGGGCAAAAGGGGGCTAAAATGTGGGTGGCTACTTTGAATGCCAGGCATTCAAAGAAAATTCAATGAACTCAGAGAAGCATTAACCAATCAGAGTTAGGAACATTTTAGTGTCAAGAAAACAGATCATTAAATGTGGCATCTTTTCTGAGAAGTGGTTAGTGGGGAAGAGGCTGTAGATTTAAGCAGGAGCAGAGGTATCAAACAAAAGATCCAGAAAAAAAAAATGTAGAAGCTACTGGGGTCCCAGTAAAGAACATGGTCATGAAAGAATGAAAGCAGGCTTGTCTTCTAAAGTTCTGTGCCCATGAATATGTGGTGAGATTTCACAAAGAGGAAGAAAAAAGTTTAGGATGCATCAGATTTTGAGTCCCATTTTGAGTCCCATTGACTCAATGCTCCCATTGATGAAAATGTTCAAATTGAGCAGAAAACTAGTGTAGGGACAGCAAATCATGATGAGGCCAAGTGTGGCTTCTGTCGAAATGAGGGGTCCTGAGCATGAAGGTGGAGGAAGGGATGCAGAGGGAAACTGGGAGCCAGGGGGCATCTCACCGTTGGGTCCACAATCCCTGCCCAGGCACAATGCACAGTAAGGGACAGTGAAGCAGTAAAGGCACAGGTGTTATATTTTTCCTGGGTTATAAAATTAAAGCATGATTAATTTCACTCTTGGAAAATGTGCCATAGTCTGCAAAACTGAGCAATGCTTTAGAACTCCAGTCTAGAGGTAAACACATGAACAGCCCGTCTTTTCTTACCCTTCTCACCTGAGACTTAACACATGCAATGTCATCAAATGACATGTCTTAACATAACACTTGTTAGGAGCTTCAGATGTAACTTAGCTCTGTTCACAGCAAGGGCCTTTGGAGAATCTGCACACGTCCCCTGGAGGTAGAGTAACACTGCCTCAGGTCAAAATGAATCAGCAATGATAAAAGTTAATGCCGGGATGATAATGAAAGTGCCAGTAAACCCTGAGAAGGTGCAAGCTCCGTGGCAGGCATGACACTCCCATTTACACCATGCCTGGCACCCACAGTGGTTACACTAGGCAGCACTCCATCAGGAGACGGATGGGGGGCTCTGCCCTGTCTTGACCTCCCCGACTGAGCTCAAGTCAACTAGGGACTAAGAGCAAATTCATTTCTTGTACGGTTCCTCAATGTGTCAGGCCCATGTGAACATAGACTCCCTTCTGCTACCTAAGAAATGAGTCCACAGACCAACTGTTGATTGGAATCGTCCAAAGTTAACAACAGCCATGATCTCTCGCCTCAGTTCTAGCAGCTCAGCCTCCTGAAGGAAAGGTAGAGAAAAATAACAGACATGCCTGAATCGCCCCTTCCCTGGGATGTGGGAAGCGATGATTAGAGAAGGAGGAGATGCCATGTCAAGGGGAAGAGCTGCTAAAATGGGACACGTAGCTCCATGGTGATGAGATGAAATTGCATGTTTGCCATGAAAAACTGAGGGAAGAACATTTAATGAGAACAGGTGATTTTTAGAAGTTTGTAATTTTCAGAATACATAGCATGTTACCTTTTTTCTTAAAATAAAGATACTAGAAACAATCCTGGTGGTATGAGGCCAGAGGAAGGCACTCACCATCATTTACAGAGTGGGCTTTTCTGAGCATCGGCCATGCAAGGCTAACTGCTCCCTGAGTGTCTCTGCTCTAACAGGCTAACCCCTAAATAGCAGGCCCTCCATCCTAGACTGTGCAATTCCACCTTCCACTGAATCAGGGAGCTCTGGGGTCAAAATTATATCAGGGATTTTCAGAGCTCAATCTCAGCACTTTTGTCATTTAGAGCCATATCACTCTTTGTTCTGGGAACTGTTCGGTGCATTTAGGGCATCCCTGGCTAGATGCCAGTAGCAGCCCCTCCCCATGTGTGCCAGTCAGGCACTGCCAAATTGTCTCCAAGCACTGCCAATCGCCCCTGGTGAGAAGCTCCAATTTTTGTGTATCAAAACACCTCTCCCTCTTTGGAAATTAAATAAGCTATCATCGCTAGAAAGATTACTTTAAAATACACTTATATAAATCACCCAGCTGAACTTGTATTGAGTCGTGTCAGCAAAACTTCAATAAGAATGAAAAGTCACATTAATTATAACTATATATTTGTTACACTGGAAAATATATTATGAAGAAATTTTCAAAGAATCAATTTCAAAAGAAGTTGTTCTAACTTCATCCCACCACCCCTGAAAAATTAAAAATATATTAGGTGAGTTAATACTAAACAAATGATTTTGCCAATAGGAAGATTTCGTACAGCAAACTAATTTCAGCTACAAAATAGAAGCACTTTTTTACATTTACTTCAAAACGCCTGAAGCCTTCCTTTTAGTTTCCTGATGTGGGAGGCTCTCTCTATAAGCTCCATCTAAATAAGCAAAAGTCTGTATAAGTGCATGTGCAATAAATAACATTTCCCATTCACACCCACACTGCAAATGAGTAGGCTCTAGGGAACAGAAAATAACTGTTTCCTCTTAGTTTAAAAAACTCTGTCAGATTAAAAAAAGAAGGAAAAAAAAAAAAAGAATGAGCACTTACACAAGAAGTTTTGCTTTGGAAACAAAGCCTAACTAGTTATTAATGGAAACAGATCCAAAAATAAGCTTAATGTACTTCTTTTCAGA